TATAACAGAAAAATAAATTAGATATTTACAGCAATATTTTTTAAGTATAAAACAACAACATATATTAAACTGACAGAGCATATACGGTTAATATAATTTCATTCGATAATTAAATTAAAATTTACCGCAGTCATGGTAACTACAGTAATCTATACTGTTTTCTCATAGTTGTTATTTTTTAAGTTATAAGTATTAAAATAGTATAATTACAAAAATGACTTGTACATTTATGTTTTAACAGAATATTTTTTAATTTATAATTTACAACTTGAAATATATTATACAATAGTAGATAATGCTTATAGTTTTTATTTTGTATATAATACAATAATAAATAATACATGATAAAAACAATTAAGTACAATATAAATTTATTTTTATAATAGAAAAAATAGTGAGAACATTTGCAAAAAATATTAAGATTCATAGAATATATTATAGGACATAAAAATTATGGTAGAAAATTTGTCCATATTATAAAAAAAAAAATGAATGGTTTGATTAACCGTAAATTTGTGGTTTTAACAAAATCTAGATATATTTATATGTCATGGAATTATATTCCATTTTTGCTGTTTTTTTAAAAATATGTGTGCATATTTTAAATGATCATGCTGTTATGCATTTATGCATATTAAAGTACTGTATAGTTTCATAGACTATACTGACAATTTAAGTATTTGCAGAATTAATTAGCTATTTGAATGGAAGTATTGTAATGTATAAATCACAAAATTGGTCCGTTCTCTATAAAGAAAAATATTTACATAAATTATTGTCATTAAAATATAAAATACACATGTTAATATAACTTAAAACGTAAGTAATTATAGAATTTCAAACTTTTTTTATAAGTAGATATGTTTTTAACTTTTATGTATTTATAAATTCATATTTATTTCAATTATAATCTTTAAATTTAAATTGAACATTGAAATTTCAAAAGTTTTATCTGTAATTATACATTTATATAACATTTGATAGATTTATATTATAAGAATTATTTTAATTGATGTATAGGTAAATAATTTTATTTAATAGAATATTATAAATGTATCAAATAGATTATTATATGATCATTATTGTAAATCAATTATTTATTATATTAGTTTTAGTACTAAGCTTTTTTTTATTTGTTGTTTTGGATATACGTAAGAGTATAAAACTATAAAACAATGTCTAGAAACTTAAAATTTGATTCAAATTAAAAAATTTAAAGCTTAATATGTGTATTGAGTGATTGATTATAAAATAGGAAGAAGAGTGGAAACAAAAAAAAAGTCTAATCAACTTACCTATTGTCGAATCATTGATTAAACAAGAAGTGACTTGTCCATCATCTGATTTTGTCTAATAAAATTTAAAATATAAAAATAAATAAATATATTTTAATGAAATAGTGTAAAATTTGTACAGCTATACAATATAATATACACACTTCTCTAGAGCCTGTAGAGCCAGATTTATCATCAGAGTCATCATCAGAATCTCCGTAGTCAAAGTCAATGGTAAATAAATATTTCATCTCCTCGCTAGCCAAAGATTTAACAGAAACTGCACTCGAACTCGTCTAATTGAATTGAAATTATAAAAAAAAAAAATACAAATAAATCTGTACTACTATATAAAATTGTAAGGGGTGTTCTACGACCGCGCTAACCGATAAAACTATTAAACCGATTTGGCTAAAATTGTTTACTATTAAACCTGATAGTCTGACGTCTGTTGAAGGTTTTAGTACCACTTTTTTTTATAAAAAAAATAAAATAAATTAAGAAAAATGGTAATTTTTACGAATATCCAATATTATTATTAAAGTTATTGTTTTTTAACTATGGTTATCATTAAAACCATAAAATTTGAATAAAAAATTGTACATATTAATATATTATCATCACCCGAAGGTAAAATAAACAACTAATCACGGGCGAAGCCGTGACGAATCGGCTAGTATTATATAAAAATCATAGAACGAAACGAAAATATGTAATCTTAACTAAATGTTTTATATTTCAATGGAGGTTCTAATAATACGATATAATTTTTAAAGTCATCAGCATATAATAATGACATATTTCGCTATTTGGAAAATTGAATATAATTTATGAGCAAATTATATAAAAGCAGTAAAATATCTGAACCTCTTCGAGGAAAAATTTATGCTACATAAATAAATCTGGTTAACAGTAATGTCTGTATTTAACATATTTTTTCTTATTTGATATAAAAGTGACTAATTATTGTGTTACGAAAACCTATATACGTTGTAGTTTTATAAAAATTTGAAATGATCACTCTTAGGTATTGGTATAAATAAATCTAAGAAAAATAAAGTTACGTACAATTGAAATCGTGTCATCAAAAATATCATCTTCCATCATGGTACCAATACCATTATCTGGAATGGTTCTTTCTTCATTGTTCCAAAAATATGATTGAGAAATCTCCGGATTACAATTCCAAGCGATCACCTTTTCCATATATCCAATAGTCTATACGGGTATAAATAATGTATAAAACATTTTCTGACTTTTTAAAAAAAACAAAGTCTAAAACTTTTTGTCTAAAGAAAAATATATTTATGTATGGATTGACTTCAGAAAAAAAGAAGGTATTTTTGAGTTATTTAAATGTATTAAGATCAAGAACAATTATGACGTGGTTAAATCAAGGTCTACATATTACATTACAAAACAGCAACTTCTCCTTGTTTTCCATAGGTTAATCTTTTTTAAAAACTAATTTTGGAAATTTTATTGAAAATTAAAAGGAAAAATATAGTTATAAGCTATAATAATAAATGAATAGCAGTGCCGTATCTAGGCATTGGCAAGGTAGGCGGTGGCCAAGGGCGCAGTTTAAAATTATCGCGCTGGGGGCGCAATTTTTATATTATATAAATACTAAAAATTATAACATTTTAAATAATATTAATATTAAAATTATTAAAATGTATAATTTTACGGATATAGTCATTAAGTATTTAATAAAGTGAAAACACGATTTTAGAAGTTACCTATATATTATGGGTTTTTTTTATTACTTTCATTGATTACGATATTTTTTTGTTTTATTATATTCGTGGAAAACATTAATATTATTTATGTAATGTAACATAACAATAATAATTGATATGAAGGCAATAATAACAGTTATAGTAATACACGTATGCACCTCAGATCTATAGTTGTCCGTATAAAAACTTGTTATTATAATATTGTTAAATTTATAAATTAATATTAAATATCGTTGAGAATATTTTTGTCAAATCTCAAACGTCATTATATTGTATGTCGATACTCACTACTCAGTCATCACTCAACAGTGTACATCAACAGATATTTTTTAATTTTTATCAAAACTATAAGAATTAAGAGTAAGTATAGAATTTATATTTTCTTGTCTTTAATTTTATTTGTTTTACATATTATCATTATTTTTCTGTACACTGTACAAAATATAATCGTAGGTTGTTATTTTTCGCGTTTTTGTTTATCTACTTTAATTATTAATTTTTCTCTCCATAATTCAATTTAATTTCCACATTACATAGATAATATCTAATTTTATAATATTATCTAATATATTATTATAAATCGAGAACGCGTCGTTGCGTAATTATAGGCATAATATATTTTGTTATTTCATATAAATTGGTATTTCATTTGAATAGATAATATTTGTTTTTAATTTATATAAATTTATAGAATGTCTACGAAAAAATCTGGACATGAGTTCCGCAAATTAAAAAAAGAAAAAGAAAAAAACGATCGTATAGTTTCAGTAAATATGAAAAATTGGTTAGTTTCATCTACCCTTTCTATAAATAATGAACTTAAAGGAAACAAAAACGAAAATAAAAAAAATATTACTAAAGTAGAACAAATCGATCAATTTTGATTAAATTTGAATACAAGTCCTCTTATTAGCCCTGAAATTCCAGAAATTCAGTATGAAAATATGTTAAGTGATATAGATATAAACAAAACAAATATATCTCAAAGTACTTTTGACCTTACCGATCCAGTAAAATGACCAATAATTACAGATACAGTTAGACTTCATATAATAGAAAATGACACAAAATTAATAGACAATATTGATCAATACTCTTTTCCATTGACAGATGACGGAAGACAATTTAATTTTAAATGGTTTTTTTAAGAAACTTCTCTATGGTGAAGATGTAAACGCCATTGGATGATGTATAGTTATTCAAAAAAATGCTATATTTTGTTTTCCTTGCATATTATTTTCAAAAGACAAAAATTCCACATTTTCTAACTCTTTGGACGGATTTTATGATTAGAAACATTTAAATACATTTATACCGGCTCATGAAAATAGTGTCTAACACAGAAAATGTTTTATGGAGTGGAAAGAGACAGAGAAACGTTTAAAAGATGGAAAAACAATAGATAATTTCATACAAAAAGCTGTAAATATCGAAAAGGAAAAATGGTGCCATATTTTAAAAATCATAATTGACGTTATTCTTTTTTGTGCTAAAAATAATCTTGCTCTTCGAGGCACTTCAGATAAAATAGGGGATACAAATAGTGGAATTTTTTTAAACACTGTAGAACTTATTATTCATTACAATGATAGATTATCTGAACACATTAAAATTATTAAATCTAAAAAAGGACCTTTAAGCTACTTTTCTCCGCTTATTCAAAATGAAATTATTCGATTAATAGGTAAAAAAGTTCGTAACAAAATATTAATTCAAATAAAACAGGCGAAATATTTTTCAATATTATTTGATTGCACACCCGACACATCACATAAAGAGCAAAAAGAGCAACTGAGTGAAATTATAAGGTATGTCCGTATAATTGACAATAAATGTTAGTTATATTATAGAAAGTTTTGTTGATTTTATCGAATCGAAAGAAAAAACTGGACATGGATTAGCTACAGAAATAACGACAAAATTAATTAATGATGGATTAAATATAGAAAATTGTAGAGGTCAGAGTTTCGATAATGGCGCCAACATGGCAGGAAAATATAATGGAGTTCAATCTAAAATTTGTCAGATAAATGAATTAGCAAGATTTGTTCCATGCACAGCCCATAGTCTCAATTTAATTGGATTTCATGCGGCAAATGTAACTCATTCTATGGTAACATTTTTTGGTGTTGTGCAACAAATCTTTGTATACTTTTCAGGTTCAACATCAAGATGGGAAAGGTTAAATACAGTTACAAAAGTTACATTAAAGTTACATTGTGAGACGAGGTGATCATCTAAAAAACGAGCTGTTTCTGCACTTCTTTATAATATTGAAAAGATTTATAATACTTTATTAGAAATATCAACAAATGATAATTTGAATAAAGAAACTACAGCTGGTGCAAAAATTATATTGAAACAAATAAATTTCAAATCTTTTTGTTTACTTCATATATGGAATAATATATTAATGGCTATTGATCGAGTAAATTGTAACTTACAAAATAAAGGGATTTCTATTGATATAGCAAATAATATGATAAAAGGTTTATTATCATTATTACAAGACATGCGAAGAAAACATTGTGATATAATAAATTTATCAAATATATTAGCGAATAAACTAAAACTACCATCAGACTTTCCAGAAACACATAAATGTAAAAAAAACCGTACGAGTTCTAAACTAGCTGAAGATGAAGAGTGTATGCTTACATCAAAAGAAGAATTTGAACGAGAATGCAATATGGTATTTGATAGCATTATATCTCAAATTCAATTGCGTTTTGAAAAACTAAATAATGTTATTTCGGATTTTTCATTCTTAATAGGCAAAAATCTACAATTATGGTCCACTGAATATTTAAAAAAATGTTCTGTTAACCTTGCGTTAAAATACTCTAAAGATTTAGATGCAGCTGAATTATGTTCTGAGATAGAATGTTTTAAGTTCCAAGCTGCATCATTAATATCTGATTTATGTGAACAGTCACCACTCGAAATTTTAAACTTAATTCATATTTATACTCTTAACGATGCCTACCCAAACATAGAAATAGCTTTGCGCATTTTTCTAACACTTCCCGTATCCGTTGCTTCGTGTGAACGTAGTTTCAACAAATTAAAAATAATAAAAAATTATTTACGATCGTCCATTGGCCAAGACCGATTGTCTAATATGGCAATAATCTCAATTGAATCAGAAACAGCTAATCATTTAAATTATGATGACATCTTAGAAGAGTTTGCGTCTATTAAATCTCGCAAAATAAATTTTTAATTATTTGTTTTTTTTTTATAATGTAAAATAAATAATAATACTTAAGTATGTAATATAAAATTTCAATAATATATTATGTATATAATATTAATACAAATAATATAATTTTTAAATTAAAATATAACTATTTAAGTATTATGTATAACTCTTCCTTCTCCTTCCAAGCATAAAATTGAATATATGAAATAAATAATTCATTATAAATTTATAACATTGGTTGCTAAGGGCGCACATAAAGCTAGTTACGGCACTATAGCCAAGTCTGCAGAGACTATTTAATAAATATAAGTAGGTACTGTACTTACTGGGTAAGTAAACTCATCGTTCGAAACTTTTTCAGGACAATCTTGAGGATTGTCTTCTGCAGGACTTTCCACTAGAATACAACTCTTTAATGAAGAGCCATCATCTTCATCATCACCCAAGTTGCCCGATAATATACTATCATCGCGCGAATTTTCTGTAGCGTATATCATAAAACTTAATACTTAACAATAAAATAAAACGTTAACTTGTACACTTACTTTGAATGTCGTAGGTTCTTAATTTTTTGTTGATTTGATATTCATTATTAACATCGTTATCAACTAACGAGTGCTTACGTTTATTCTCCATTATGTATATAAAGTGTAAGTACGTAATCAAAAAATTTTTTACAATTCTAATTTATTTACAAATAAAACACATTTGATTTTATTTTCAGATAGAATCAGATAAAATTGCAGAGTTAAACTGAACCATATATTGTTTGTACTTCACGCCGAAACCGTCCCGTCGGCAGTCTCCTTGGTTGCGTGTTATTTTATTTTCAGCCACCCACAAAATAAACAGTTTTTGTCGAATTAATTTTATTATGCATTATTTTTTACATAGATTCGTGTTCATAATAAATATCATTATATTTGAATCTCGGGCAAATAATTTTATAATTATATTTAACACATACTACACGGGTAACGCATACCCGCATGATTTTCTTTAAATCTTTATTTAATTCATACTTAGATATAAAAAAACACTATTGACAGTACAAGATAATGGTAACTTATAACCTATGTTTCAAGTGTAATTATATAAATCAACATCCGATCACACATAATTTTTTTCAACCATCATGATTTGGAAAGTCATAAAGAGAGACTATTTTTCTAACACTATCGACAAAACTTATATTAAAATTCTAAAATTTAACATACACATAAGCTATTATTATACACAATACTGCATTATATTACATCTAAGCATTTAAGCATTTATAACGTTTGGACAATACTTATAAAATAACTAAAACTATTTTTAAAATTGCTAAACATTAATCTACTCTTATAATAAAACGAGAATATTTAATGTAAATAATAATTTTAACAAAAAAAAATATTATCACGCTGAAATTAAAAAATAATAATAATTACACTATTTGCATGAAACTGTTAGCAACCGATGGAATTCAAACGTTGAATAAATATTTGGGATATAAACAATTAGTTGACTACTGTAATCGTATCGTATCGTACATACAATTCGCACATAAACGTATAAAAATGGATCATAGCCATAATTTCATCAAAACAATTTTTTTTCCTTATCGTTTCGTACGCTGTATATATTGCAAAAAGATAAAACTATTTAGGTCGGTATACAAATGTAAGGACTGCAATAAAATTTGCCATAGATAATGCTACAAGAAATTTATCAAATCGGAGCAAGCACAAACATCTAATGACCCAGAACCGATCGAACCAAATTTACAAAAACATAAAAATGAAATCGTTGCTGATGTTCCTACTGAGTCATTGTGTACTTCTACTAGGGAAGTTCTGAAACCGCCTTAACCAACTTTTTCGAATGTGTCATCGTATCCTGTCAAGTCAAGCCCTTCACAATGTGTTGTAGAAATCGCTTCTAATGTAGTTGTAAAACCGCCTTCACCAACACCACCAACTGTTTCTAACGCGGAATCGTTCATTATTAGATCGGCAAAATTCATTCGTGTGTAAGAATTCGTCTGTATATAGCTAATACATTTTTAATAAAAACTGCAATCATTGGATGTGCTGAAGTAAATAAATCACCCATTTTGACATGAAGACTTACGTTATATCTACTTACTAATTTTTTGTCGAACAATATTATTGATTTCGATATTTTCATGTTCGTATTATTTATAATCATTTTATTGTATTATTTAAGCAAGATGAAACCAACTTAAATAACGTTAACAATAATTATTGATCGCATTAACGATATGTCGTATTTAGAAATTAAAAACGTTTGCACATCATCACGGTCTAAAACGATTCAAAAAGTGTTATGTGAAAATTGAAACTAGACTTTTAGAGTTGCGTCACCGACCAGTAACCACTATATAAGTTTTAGATTGAAGTTAAATTTATTCGTAGATGCTATAATATCTCATACGACTAAATCATACACCAATTTAATTCATTGCAATGTTTGAGTCTATTATAGACATACTTTTTTTTTAGGTTCTGAGTTATTGAGACCATTTTTCCTATTCTTCATCTGTTCCTCTCTACTGATGTTACTCTCTATGGTTTATCTGGTTCTATTATTTTTACATCGTTTCTTATACAGTCATCCCAGTGGCTTCTTACCAGTAGTGTTCTAACTTCCAAGTGTTGTAACAACCAACTATTGAACCTATTTATAGTGCTTCTTTGTTTTAATCTATTATACAATATGTCACTACAAAATATTTCAACGATTTTCTCGCTAATCTTGTAACAATTAATTTATATAATATTCATCAATGCAAAAAAAAAAAAAAAACAATAATTTTTTAAATACAATTTACAATTTTATTAACATTTTTTTTTAACATTAAAAACATGTGCCAAAGCATTTTGAAAAAAGAAAGGTATAAGTATATTGTGAACATTATGGACATAAAAAGAGAGAAAAAAGGGAGAGGAGGGAGGAAGCTAGGGGGATACAATGGTAGGACGACATAATAAACTAAGTGAAGGGATATCAGTTACGTATTGCTTATAGGTAAACGAACTAATCGATAACGTACTACAGAATGTCTGAGTCCTTGACGATTTTAACAGTTCCGAGGATACAATTTCAACTGTGGTCGAGGATGTCGTTGAAGATATGATGGCACAGTGTTAAACGAAGATCTAGAGAAAATATTCCCAAGAGAAGAAATTGAAGGTTACTAACGACTTTCCTCCAATTATAGAAGCTTTATTGGATGCTCAAGTCATCGAAGATCCCTTCCATCAGCTGACGACGGCCCGTCGATGAAAAGTGTAGAACGGTGGTCATTCTGGCTGGCGAGTCCGAACAAGACGCAACAGTAAAGAAACCAAAACTAAGAAACGAGTAGAGTATGGAAACGCGTAAAACGCATCGTTATAGTCTTTACTTTCTATGGTACGTTAGGAGCCACCCCTACCCCTTTGATCGAAACCTAGAACCCAACCAAACCTAACCAGCGACTTATAGTACGTTATTTTCATCTGTTTCATCCATTCGCCATCTCA